TGCTTCCATGTATTCATTTCGGTTTAATGAAGGCGCATTCCTCAGAGGAGAAATATTTACATTCAGCTTCCCAGGTGGTCACCTTCACCCAGATGACACACAAACAGGCAGCCCCCCGCTCCCTTTCCCAATCCAAACCTCTTTAGAAGGCTGAGGGAGGAGGGGAGGGAGGGGAGGGGGGCTGCCGGGGGAGCAGAATAGAGAAGGGAACAAAATGCTAATAAATCAGGCAGCCAGCCCTCTTCCCCTCCCCTCTGTGGAGTCAATGGAAAGTGTCATTTCACATGCTAATCCCCCTCCACTCTCTTCACAACACCTTTTCCGAAAAGTGTTTGGGAAAAGTCCTTGTGGCCCGTTTACAGCTCCCTGCCGCTTCGGATTCCTTCTTGTCTAAGGCCGCGGCCCCCGTGTGGGTCTCTCCCTCCAGCAGGGCTCCTTACAAAAAAAATCTCAACAAAGACTTTGGAGTTCATCAGCCTCCCACTGAAATTCACAGCTGCTGAACAAACTAATCCCCTCTCTTGGCCTTTCTTCCTTTCAATGGGTTCTTGGCTTCAAAGACACTTTGGGAAAGGACTTTGTGGGGACTCACACTGCTCCCTCAATAGAAGTTAGTGCAAGCATTATCTTCAGAGCAAGTGGCTTTACAAACAAATACTGCCTAACAATCTCTGCCCCTCCAGCTCCCCCAAACACACACAAGCCTAGCCTGCAGACATGATGTTATCTGCAACAGGATTAGAGCTCTGTTCTCTGTGCCCAGAGATCCTTTCCTACAGCTCCCCCCAGCTCTTTGTCAGCCCGAAGGCCTTCTCACCCAACAGAAAATGCTTTTTCTCTGCCGAGTGGCACAGCGATGCTGTGGTAGCATGTGCCCACATGGTGGGGGGGCGATGCTGAGGGGCAGTGGGCTACAGACCAGAAGCCATTAACAGCCAGCAGAGATAGTGCCTGAAATGGAGGACTGCTTTCCAGTGTGGCTTGTAAGGACATATAACTCACCAGGTTCCCAGAGAATAGCCTTCCACCACAAGTCTCTCAAAGACCCTTGAGTGGATCACCTCACTTCCCCCTGCCTGGTTTCCCTACCAAGACTCCTGCTTCTTCTTACCCTGCTGGTGCTCACTGGGGTAAACCTGAAGCATAAGTGAGCAACAGTGGGACAAAGGGGCAAGCAGGAAGGACGTGTAGCAAACAGCCAGTCTCTGCACGAGTCCATGAGTAGTGGGAGCTGTGTGTACTGGAGGGAACTAAAAACTCAAAACACATCTGAGAAACACATGGAAAATCCATGCCTATTTCTCAGCGGTACGAGCGACCCGAGTCAAAGGAAGAGAAGGGCTGGGCTGCACAAGGTACTGGATAACGGTATTCAGAAAGGCAGAACCTAAGAAATACTAATCTCAGAAAGGTAGGACTTCCCTTACGTGCTGGTTAGGCAAATACATGCCTCTGGGACTACCTGCTTACTTGTACAGCATCAGAAGGGGTCATAACGCAAGTGCCGCCTTTGAAAATCAGCTTGCATCTCCCTGATGCTGGGAAGCCAGACTGGTTGCTAACTGCTCCCAGACTTGGTTGCAAAAGCCCTGTGAGACTCCCTTACACTTGTTGTTTGCCTCTGGCAGCAGCAGAACTACCAGAGGCTGGTTTTCCCTGAATATGTGTGCTGTGGCTGTAACAATCACAGAATTGTAAGGAGTTGGAGGGGACCTCTGGAGATCATCTAGTCCAGCCCACCCCAGAACTCTCAAACTCTGGTCCCTTCACAGCAACAGCCCTTCAAATCTTCCCCACACAACAACCTTTACTTCCTCCCAGGTCCTCCAACCACCAGCCAGGTAATACAGTCCTGCATGTTTGATGGGTGCTGACTGGCTGGCCTGGACATATGTACTAGCCAGCTGACAGCTAAAAGAAAATATTTTTGGAGATTAAATCAGTCTTTTTGCAGAAGCTATTTTTTCTCCCTGACTTCATCTCAGTACTGATGTTTCACTTCAGTCTTCTTACCTCCTCAAAAGCTTAAATGAAATCAGCCAACAGATTCAGAAGTTACTAACTAATGGTAAGAAGTGACAATTCGGACTTCCACACAGGTCAGATCCTCATCCTAGTTTAAGCAGCGTGGCTTTGGTGGTGTAACACTGATTTCCAACACGAGAAGATTTCATCAAGGGCTCTCTCTGCTTACTTACTGACATGCTTCCAGCTCCTGACATCAAGTGTCAAATCCCCAGTGCTGCTGTGATTTCCCAAGAGAACCTCATCCATCCCAGGGACCTTCTCGTGTCTGATGCAGATGAACAGTCACACCTCAGCTGGACGACTGCAAAAGATCAGTGCTCTGACTATCCAGCCCTAGGGACTGGGTAAAGCCCAAAGTCTCACCCCATCAGAACAGTTGCTGCCACATCAGCAGAGCCCAGGATTTGGCTTGCCCCACACTCTTCTCAAAAAAAGCTCTTCTCACCAAAGCTGAGACCTCAGCTCTCAGTGGGTGGCCATGCAGACTGAAGAAAGTTCCCTGTAGCCAGAGGTGACAAGCCTACAAAAAAAGCTAGCAGCATCACAAAACACAGCTTTTATTTTGCTGTTCTGTAATCTCTCAGTGCATCAAACCTCAGCAATAGAAACAACACAGCAGCAACAAGGAGGCACTTTGACCTGGAAAGGAGAGAATGAGACATGTCCTCTCCCTCCCTTCTTTGATTCTTCTAAGTCTCATGGTACAGCAGGTTGTTTTGTCTAAGTCAGTGAACCACAGGCTCATGATGGCATCATCACTCAAGCAGCAAGCAGAGGAAACAGGAGCTGGCTGCAGCCAAAGGCTGGGAAGAAGCCTTGCTCCTAGCTAAGGCCCAACAATTATACTGCCTGGTTAGCACATGAGAGAAGAAAGAGACAGAGAGAGAGAGAGAAAGACAAGAAGGGAGGAAGAAAAGGAGAGACACACAGATGTGCTCTAAAATCCCATCTGCCTTCCCAGACTTCTTACCCAGGACAGATATGCTTCAATCATCTATTTTACCCTAGAGGAAGTGCCACAGTGGTGTATAGTCTGAACACAGCCATATCCTCCATACCTGACAGCATCACCTCCTGCAGCATACTTCTACCACCATAGTGCCAAGGGGCACCTTTGCACATCTTTTACTGTGGGCAGAATGAATGCACCACACTTGGAGCAATGAGCTGTCTCCTCCTGCTCAAGTTTGGGCTAGTCAGAGTAGCTCTAGGGGATCCATTATGGAACCTGAACAAACCCTGCTCCTCTTAAAGACCCTAGACTGCCTGAAAAGCCCAATGTAGGAAGCCTTTAGATAACTCCAGTGGGCAAAAGGCTAACTGTGCTAACATAAAGGAAGTGAAAAAGGCCAGGAGCCAGAGATGGTGGCTTTTAACCCCAAACTAGGATGTGATCAACTCTGGGAAGAAGCACACAGAACAGTCCAACCAGCTGGGACTCCTGAATGGGGAAAGTCTTAGGAGCTGAAAGGGAAAAATCAGCCCTGGTCCTGAGACAAAGGGCTCAAGTCTGCAACTTATGGGGGAAAAAAGATATAAAGGAGGGGGGGACAGAGGGCAAACAGGAGTCTTGACTATGAAACCAGAGGTCTGGATAAAGAAGAGAGAGAACCAAAACTAGTGTAGAGCAGGCTGGTAGTTAGCCCTAGTTGTAGCAGGATATAGATGCAGAGGGGCAAGAGAGCGAGTCAAGGATGAGAATGAAGAGAAAGGAGGAACCAGAGAAGAGATCCTCACTGCAGCTCAACAGAGCAGGGGTACCCCAGCTTAGGTCCCAAGGGAGCCCAGCTGTAACTCAAGTAGTTTACACGGTAGCACAGAACAGAGCCTGAGGCTCTTCTGTCTGGTGGCACTGCAGGTTCCTACCCTGTTTGTCTCCTAAAATAAAAAAAAAAGCACTATCAGCATGAGAGGGAAGGAGCTCCCCCTCTGTACCAGGGATACAGGGAAGAGGGAGGTTCTCTGTGCCACCTTGACAGCCTGCAGTTGAGATCCCTGGGCTGGGAAGCAGCCTCAGACTAGTAAGAAAGAAGAAAGACCACTCTCCAGGAGTCCCAGGCACCAGTGGGCTGTCCAAAAAGTGGATGGGGCCAGGTGTGCTGGCCTAGCATGGTTCCAGGCACTGGCACAGCCTTGTTTCTCCAGAGTCAGAAAGGAGAGTCCACAACCTGCAGCACATCAACAAGGTGAGGGAGTCCACCAGCTCTCAGTGTGCACTGTTCCAGCTGCTCCACACTTTACACATTCAGCTTGCCAGCAATGGTCATGAGGACTTTCAGGATAGGCATGAAACCAGACACCTCACTGAAACTGCTGCTGCTCACCACTTGGGTGTGAACCAGGAGGCCCTGCTGGTAGTTCCTAGCCTCAATGCAGCGGGCAATTTCATGGAGACCCATGAGGATGCTTGGAGAGAGCTGTGGGGAGGGAGCAGAAATGAGTCAGCATGCTCAGCACTGTAACACAGACACCCCCATCCCCACCACCTTCCACACCCTTCTCTCCTGTTCTCCATCTCATCCTCACCCAACAGCACCTACACAGCCAAGCCCTTGCAGGAAGGATAGCCTGCTTCCTCCCTCAGTTTCTCAGCTTACAACAAACATTAATCTAACACCCAGGCTGGGTTACAGTGAAGGCCGGTCCTAAGTAATGACATTTTAGCATTATTGAATATTTCATATATCTGAGGAGGTCAAAGGTCCATCTAGTATAAAGTCCTGTCTCTGTTCAGGCCTAATGTGGACACTCAGGGAAAGGGTCTATGTTCAAAGGATTCTTCCCTTGATAGCTAACACTCCAGCAACTGGCATTAGCAGCTTCAGAATTTTGTAAGCCAGAGGTTCCACTATATTCACACTTAACAACTACCCACAACTGACCTTTTCCAGCTGGAACCTCTCTATATGCCAGCATACTTCCTGTGGGTAAAAGCACCCTACAAACACCTCCCCAGCTTCTCCTTGCACTACATCTAGGCCAAGATAAAGGAAGAAGAGATAAGACTGGCTGGCATCAAGGTACATTATACAGTTTGGCACTCCCACAGCTCTCTCTCTCGAGGATATGTGCTGGTGACACCACAACAAACACTAAAGCCCACAGCCCAGTGCAAAGGTGGGGTCAGGAACGCGGCCTGACCACAAGGGACGCTGCAGCTACTCACCGCCTGCTCACGGAGCTTCTCGTACAGAGACTCCAGCCGCTGCAACGCATCTTCCAGCTTCCTCCGAGTTTTCTGAAGCAAAACAGGCACTGCTAGCTCTGCCAGAGCTTCAGAGCTAGCCCTCCCACAACCAGGCTGTTCTCACTCCGTCCCTCCCCTCCTCTTGTTCACCTTACAAGTCCACAGCACCTTACGATTCAGCTGCACCTCAGCCTCTGCCTGCCAGGGACTGTGACACAAGCCAGCCGTGCCCTCGCCGTGCCCTCGCCGTGCAACTGTCTGCCCCCCGAGGCAGGAAGCTGGGTTTGCCCCCTTTTCCATCTCCCAGCCTAGGTGTTCCTCCCTTCTGCCAGTCCTTGCAGACCAGAGGACAGAGGGACTACTTCCAAAGCTTAAGAAACATCCACTAGTTAACCCATGGGGCATTTAGACAGCCCCACCCTGGCTGACCTAAGCAACAGCTTCTATCCGGTCTCCTTGAGGAAAAGAGGGAATTTTCCTCCTATTCTAGGTAACTACCAAGGAAAGGGCCCAAGTGCTGAAGCTCTGGTGGGACTGATCCCACTACCCCTGCCTTAGATAAGCCACTCCAGGAAAACTATTCCGTGGGTAGAAATGGCTGTGGGAGAGGCCTGGCAGCCTCAGGAGCTCAGGTGCACTGTATTGCAGTACCAACCCTCCACATAAGCTGAGTGCTTAATCCTAAATCAACAGGCCTTCCTGCCCACCCTGGGAACCCTGAAGTTATCTCCCAGAACAGCTACACTGCACTGCAAAGGCACCGAGCAAACGTGCCAAAGCTGCTGCAACACACAAGCTGCCTGACTCTGGGGTAACAGCCTGGGCTCAGTGCTGACCCCAACACCCACTGGACAGTGGTATTCTGGAAGGCTTCAGGGTGTCCCAAAGCTCTCGTGTGACTCAGCAACCTGCCACAATGCTGCAAATGCTGCTTTGCTGCTTCCAGATAGTCTGACTTGATACATTGATGCAACAGAGCAGGGATGCCAACGGCCTTCCAGGAACGAGGGTGGTGAAATTACACTGACTCGGACACAAAAAACTGTCTGGCTTTCTCTGCCAGCCAGGATATTTCAGCCTTTCCCTCTAAGCTCAGAGGATAGCTGGTAACACCAGCTCTGCAGGAACCATCAAGTCAGTGAAAGAGGACTCTGAATTAGCTGGGGCTTTTCTTCTACTTCCATTTTAGGAAAGAGCCAAGGAGGACAAAACCATTGCTCCATAAAGGCAATGAGCAGCAGTGAATAAATGCTAGAAAATGCATCTCAGACCCCAAGAGATAGACAAGCCTGCAGCCTAAAGGAAGGAGGCAGGTGGAGATCAATTTGGTTTATGGACAAGACTCCTCTCTTTTCCTGACCAAAAGACAAAACCATCAGTCAAACACCTATGAGTGCAAAAAAGCCAAAGATGAGAGAAGGGAGGACTTACTGGATCAGTGGCGACAGCAGAGCAGCGTTGCACCAACCCTTCAAATGTGGCCTTCAGAGCCTGGTGCTCAGGAGGCACCTCCTTCCTCTCAACCTTCTCCACAGGCAGCTGGTGATACTGACAGAGAAAGAAGCAGCTGAATGAATGCAAAAGGAGCATGAAAGGCTGAAGCTGGTAGATTCCCCTCCTGAACAAAAATTGTTTCATCCCTTTGCAACCCCAGAGAACACCTGGAAGCACAGCATTAGATTATCATCTTCAGAGTGTGGTGCAGCTTCAGGCCTCTGTGCATGCCCAACTCCCAGCAGGCTGACAGCCTGCCTGGCCTCCCTCCCTCTCTCCTAGCTGTACCCCAGGTGTCATTTTCCACCCTGGCAATTTCTCCAACGCCCAGGCAGAGATGTCTTATAAGGGCTAGGAAGCAATGTTAGCTGTGCAGCTGCCAAGCAATAAGAATCTCAAAAGCTGAGTTGTTTTTTACTTCTCAAGGAGCTGGTGGCTGGGGAATGTCCCACTTTCCCTGGGTACCTGCAGGCTGCCTTCTTTGGGTGCTCCTGGGGGCGACTGGGCAGATTCTTGCAACCTGGACAGCTGAGGATGGATCACTTGGGGCTCAGCTGGCAGACTCATTACTGGAGCTGTGATGGGGGCTGGAGGAGTAAATTGCTCAGGCAACTATCAGCAAAGAAAGAAAGAAAAAAAAACATCAAAAAAACCCAAGTCCACAAAAGGAGGGGTGGTTACACCCCCCCCTCCCCAGTCAAATTCAGCTTCCTTTCTAACTTTCAGAGTGCCCAGTTCCCCAGATGTGTAACACGTTGCTGTCCTTTCAGTCCCTGACTCGGAGTGTGGGGCCCTTCCTCTTGCCTCCTAGGGGAACAGCCACAGTGACAGTAAGAAAACTCCTCAGGAATTGTTCAGTCAAACAGATCTGCTGCCCCTGAAAGCACTGGTCCTCAGAAAGCTGCCTCGCCTCTGCGGCGGCACGAGTCCTGCATGTAGAGATTAACAGCAGTAAAGTGTCCAACAGAGCAAGTGTTGGGGAAAATCCCACGACATGGGGGGAGAATCCTCTTGCAAACACTTCATCGTGCCCCTGCTAAGCCAGAGAGTCAGGACAGATTCACTTCAACAGGGCTAGATCAAAAGGAGATGGCTTTAACAAGAGGCTAATCCTGTTGTAGTGAGCACAGCCTGAAGCAGGTTCCCAGCTATGCTGCCAGAAAGAGGGCGAGAAGTCTGTTCCAATCTAAAGAAGAGGAGCAGGGGGTGGGAACAGTGCCAAAGAAGCTTCTTGTCACACCTGCCAGCAGGCAGCAGTGACAGAAATGGGGTACTGAGAGCATTACTTAGAAAAGAGCTCAGCTGACAGGCCCACCGGTGCAATCACTACAAGGCAGAGAGCAGCAGGACCAGGACGGCAGGAGGCTCACAGCTACACCTGTGCCAACTTCCTCCAGTGCAAGTGCCTCAGCAGCTGGTACCAGCAACTGAGGGAAATCCCTGTGGGTCTCACAGTGTGAGGGGAAATGCTGCCCCCAGCTGTCAGGTGTGAAGTGGGCAAGATCTCCCCAGCCACTGGCAAAAATGTGTGAGTGGGTAAGATTAAATCCGTATTTTTGGCAACAAGGGACTGTAGTCGGCCTGAGAAATGCTGACAGAGGATGCAGCACCACAGATGATAACCATGTTACAAAAGGGCTACCCTGGAGAATGGCATGAGAGTTTGGATGGCAAAAGCTCAAGGTGACTTAGACTTCAGTCGTAGCTATGCATGTAATGCAGAAGTAGACGTGTCAGCATGGGATGAGATTGGCTAAGTGGGACAGGTAGCATTTGCAGGAGTGTATCTGTGGCATGGAGCTCCCTGGCTAACAGACCACCAACACACATTGAAAACTTACCTTTTTCTTTTGAAGGCCTCCTCTTACAACAGAGGGATCATTCCAAGATTCCTGAGCTGCCAGGAGAGAGAACGAGACACAAAGGTCAAGACTTTGAGAAGGTGGCCACAACAATTCATGGTTTATTGCATGTTTTGGAACTTCCCTCAGCAAAATAGCCCTTGGCTCCAATTCCTCCATCATTGCACCTTCAGATCCTTTCAGCTGAGGAACTGCAGGCCCAGCTCACACATCCAAGAACTGCTTTTGCCTCCCTTTCTTTCTTAATAACATTCTTAGCATCTGAGATGTGCACAGGCTTCATGAAATGATGTCCGATCAGAATGAACTGTTACACACCCACTCCTACACAGAAAGCTTTTTTGCAACTACCTGAATCTTTCCTCATTCTGCACAGGCTGCAGAAGTGAGTCTCAGCATTAGGCCTGGACCTTGGTCAAGACCTGCATGTGCATGCACATCAGGGTTAGGAAGATCCTGAGGTTCCCCAGGCAGAGAACCTGGTGCTGTGGTACCACAGCGAGGGCTACGTTAGGGGTGAGAGAGGGCTTCTCACCAGCACTCACAGGAGTGCCTCGTGGCAGCATTCCACAGCAATGCAGGTTGCTGTGATAAAGGAGGAAAAAGCCAGGGGTGTGCTGAAATTTTGCACTTCCAAAAGTCTATTCAGAACCAAAGCTTAGTAAAATTTACTGGCTTCCCAACTAGAAGGGAATAGACATAACCAGCAAATGCCTTGGGAGCAGAGCTTCTGCAGTACCTAGTCTCTAACCTCACTCCAGGTAATTAAAAATCCATCAAACAACATGAAATCAAAAGACTTGTGACCACATTTCGTTCTGTGAAGGTCAAATTCCTACTACCTTGTCTGCTGCTGTCCTGTACCTGCATCTCTAGAGGAAACCTTGGTGCTTCTTTTGTCACCCTGGTATTAATAGCCGCAAGCCCATGAGACAGGAATAAACTGTGAGAAAGTGGCATAATTCTCAGGGGCAATATCAGAATTGCTGGAGCTCAGTGCCACACTTAATGAGCCACTGATCCTGAGCTGAGCTTTAAAAATCACAGGGGAAGGATGCAAAAGGTGCTTCATTACTTTAATTACCTTTATTATTAAAATTCTGGCAGCCTCTTTTTGCCCTCGCTTTTCCCATGATTTCAAGACTCACTCTCTGATGAGTTTGGAGCAGTAGTTTAATTAAATTGGCACTTATTTCTAACTTGGGGATTCTGTGCCCTAGAACTCTGCTGGCCCCCACTGAGCCTGTGGCCTAGCAGTTCCTGGCACTATTCCAACCCAGTGGCACTTTCAATCCTCACAGGAAACAGCTATTTAAATTATAGTCTAAGCCAGGCACTTAATCATAAGACAACAAGCAAAATGCAGCAAGGTCCTGGGTGAAACACTGACTATCTTGTCTATGCTACTTGTGAAAGGAGGTTTCTCACCAACCCTGAAAGAAGTGCCCCGTGGCAGCAGTCTCCAGAAATGCCTGTCTGAGAAGCAGCAAGACCATCACAGGACAGAGACAGGGATTATCCCAGTTAGAAAGGAGATCAGCCAACATGTTGCTGTCCTTCACTGTGTCTCTGACGCTCTCCAGGAGCACAGGATTTCTACAGGCAGAGATCTCTCTTCATTGTGCTAGTGAGAATGTGATCATGAGCTGCACAGATTATGTTTAGGAATTTCCAAAGTAAGCAAGTTTGGCCAGTCAGACTGAGTGATCTTACAGTCCCCTTCTAGGCTAGAAGTACCCATCAAACCCAGATAATAACAGCAGGCAGGAAAGCACTCCCAAGGAAGCCAGTTTGCACTGCTGATGTGGGCATGCCATTTGCTGCCATTAAAGCTAGGGGTAAATGCTGCCAGGAGAAAGGAACATCTCAGCACTGAATTTCTGCAGGACATCTTCAGTCTGAGGCAGTGCTTGAAAACCTTACCATGCAGTCACCTTCCCTTTAACACAGAAAACCAGGGTCTTTTGTTTCTTTGCTGAAGGGACTACTTCCTTTACAGAGCCCCACTCCACACAGCAAGGCTTGATTGGTGTACATGGCTACCGAATACTCTGATTTCCCAAATCAGGCTAAGACTCCCTAGATAATCTTTTGTGCTTGGTAGATGGTCTTTGGCACTGCAGTCACTGTGCAGAGTCAGCCCACTAAGACATTGAGCCTTATCCCACTGACAACGTTGACTGGAAGATACCAGTCACTTACTCTCCACCATCACTGAATCCCAAGGACAGAAATCAGTACAAAACATCAGTCACAAAACCTCTATGGTCCAAATTCTCCCCAGCAGGTGGACTGAGAATTCAAAGCCAAACCTTGCCCTGCAAATAAGGCCAAAAGGGCTTTCCATGTTGCCTTGGAATAGAGCCCCCAAATTCTGCTTGTGAAGCTCTATACCACTGCTCACATTGGGACCCACCTCTTCCAAACCATCTGCAGAAAGCACAAGTAAAGCCATGCATAAGGCTGGGAGTGTAATGGAGAACATGAGGGATGAGCTACAACCACAGCCTGTTCCTTGCCTAGAGAACCAAGAAAGAAAAAGGAGATACTTGCCTGTCCTGCTGGCCCAGCAACTGCGTGAAGGGACACAGAAACAGAATGCTCCAATTCCTCCAGGACTGGAGGAAAGTAAAGAAGGAAGAAGCTGGAGCCCCTGCTTCTGCATCAGAAGTTCACCCCTGCTAAACTCATCAGTAAGAGCACAATGTTTTCATTTCACTTCCAACATCCCTAGCTGTCACTAGTCCTCAGGACGACTGTGTCCACTACCCCAGCTGTACAGCTCCCCAGGCATGCAAGGAAACAACAGATAGCAGTGAGCATGCACACAGTGAAACATGCACACACCCCACATTTCACTGGAAACAGCAACGTTGCCTCCCCCATAGGTCTGGAGGCTTTTCTGGGTACTACCTGCATGATCCATGTGGGGATCTAGCCAAGGGAAGAAACCTGAAAATCAAGGCAGGGTGGGAGAGTCATCATCACCAACAACTTTTATTGTGTGAGTAATGTCCCTGAACTATTATCTCAGAGCTTTTCAGAAGGAATTGGTCCAGCCTTAGCTTAGAGCCTTTGTGTGTGGTCCCCACAGGCTTTACACTGTGGGATTTGCTATTCTTGGTTAAACACAGCTCAGCAAAGGATTCCAGGTGGAGGGAAACCTCAAAGCCTCAGTTCCTTCACTCTTAGAATACACGTGGCTTGAAGAAGCATCTGCTCAAAAACCTAAGGATTGTCAGCCTTGTTGTCAGGGGTCTCCACAGCCTGGTAAAGCCTCTCCCCTAAGACATCAAATAAAGAAGCACCAGATGTGGTAATGTTGTGGGAAACAGAAAAAGGGAATGCCCATCCACTGGGAACTAGGTCCAACTACACTCTTCATTGTGCTAGCAAGGACTTCACAGTACTTGCAGACTGGGCTGGATTCAAACTGCAGACCCAGAGGGCAAAGGCTCTGGTCTAGAACACTGCACAGGGGAATCCAGAAACAATTCCCAGGCAAGCACTCTCCAGTGACAGAAAAAATGGGAAGAACTAGGGCATAGCAGAGAGAGGAATTTTATCCTGAAGCTAAGCAAGAGGTATCCCATGGACAGAGAAGCAGCACCCTGCTCTCCCAGCATTTCAAAAGCACTTCTTGCCTAAGTTACACAAGCAGGGATGAGATCAGCAGGCCTTCCACCAGGCTTTCCCTGGGAACCACCACCCTTTCAGCCAGAGCAGGTGCCTCTGGAGTGGATGACTACTTAGGGTGCACTGAGGACCTGAAAAGACAGCTTCTTGTAACCACAGCCTGAGGGACAGAGCAGCTGAATGGGCTGAGTGGAACTGTCATCACTGCTGCACTTCTCCACCACAGCATGACTTGGCACAACGCCTCTGTAAGGTTAGTCTCAGCACCACATCCAGCCTGGATGGTGACCAACCCAACCTCAGAAGGTCCATGTCCATTATGTACAACAAACCCCACCCAGAAGTGTCCTGAAGTCACACAAGCAGTACTTACCTGTGGGAGGAGGAGGAATGCTGGCTGCTGGCATGGGCTTAGCAGATGGAGCTCCAGGACCTCCCTGAGGGTAACCCATGTTCATGGGGCAGTTGAAAGGTGCTGAAGACAAACCTAGAGGAGATTGGGTTGCCACAGGGAGAGGACAAGCTGCAGGAGGCTGAGATGATGGAAATGAGGCCGGAGTGAAGAGGGCAGGTCCAGGTGGTAGAACACCAGGAGATGTCATGGGTATGGACCGTCCTGGCAGAGAAGGCTGGCTGGAGAAGGGAGCAGGACCAACAGGTCTGACTCCTACAGGTCCAAATGGCTGAGGCTGTGACACAGCTACAAATGAAACAGTGTATCAGTATCACTTTTCATATGCAAACTACTCCTGATGCTCTCTTTCATGCTAGTAAGTCTACCCTTCTCCAAGCCATACCCTAGAATGTCCATGCCAGGCATACCCCCCATAACCCAAGCTACATCAGTCAAACTATCTCAAAGATAGCTGGGGCTTCTCCACCCCTACATATACTTGGTGTCAGTGGACATGCAGCAACAGTTGCTAGAACTAGATGTGCCAGAAGCATGGAGAAGCCTTTCAGACAGCTGGCTTGTTCTTTGCCAGTATGATAGGCCTCTGAGGAGGAGAGTAAAACAGCCATCCACGTTGAAAGCTTTAGTCTAAGAAAACCTGGAGAAAGGACATGGCTACCAGACAATGCTTACCTGGCCCTGAAGCAGTTGCTGGAACCAAGCCCAGGTTGTACTGTGGGTATGGAGGCTCTCTGGAATAGACAACAGTTTGTGGACTTGGGCTGCCTTGGGAAGGAGCAACATGGTAAGGTGTCATTGCTGGCACTGGCTGGGGCGTGAAGAGGGAAGGCACTGAAGGCTGAGAAGGTGCTGAAGGGGCAAATGGTGATTGACAGTTGGGCTGCAATTTAAAATAAAAGAACCTGTAAATGGCCTAGACAGTCATGTGCATACACACACAAGCAGAGGCAAGATTTCTATGCCTGTCACTCCTCAGGCAAGAGAAAATGCTGCTGCTGTCAGTACCCTGGATAGATTGGATCAAAGGCCCTTCCCACCACACAACTTGCTCAGCAAGCTGGGCACCCCACTCTTCAGAGGATTTGCCATCTCCCACATGGATTAATCCTTGGGAGCTGCCAGTTCCCATACAGTGACTTCCTAGAGCACAGCCAGAGGAAATAATGAAGGAACAATAATGAAGTAAAAGAAGCTGGATGCAAAACCTTCTGAAGAATTTTCTTGTGTACAAACTGAGATTAAACCATACTACACTGATTTTACTGAACTATGAGGATGAGATGGACAAAGAAGAGTGAACCACAGCCCCCTTTTCCCTCTCTCAGTATGTGAGATCTCAGTGGATCACTACACTTCTAAGTCTCCTCTCCAGTGACTGCATGTGGAACAGGGCCTTGTGAAAATGTGCCAGAGAGCCTATTTTTGGATTATCACAGAGCTTGCATTTGCTCCAGTGAAGGACATCATGATGAGCTCCTCAATGCTTGTAATCTGCATCATCTCATATTACTTCATAGACTTCTCCCAACCCAGTAAGTCTTCCTCCTCCTCCCCAAGCCATGAAAACGTGAGAGTTTAAGGCCTACCTTCTCTGAAGGTTTGGGACCTGTTTTGTGGGCTGCTCCTTCAGAGGTGGAACCACCCTTGGCTGCTGGAGACGTGTGTTTAATGACTCCTACATTGACACGAGGGTAGGGAAAAGGGGGTGGCTGCTGACCACACACATTCTCTCCTTGAGCATGGAAAAGCCGGTCTCGAAGCTGTTGGATCAGGAGCTGAAACAAACTGTGCTTTAGGAGAAGTGCCTTGAGAGCCCCAGATGAAAGGTGCTGGGGAGGCATTCAAAGCAGACCCAGACCCAAAGCACTAAGCATCAACCTGCAAAACTAACCATTTCCCACACAGCCACCAGGGAAAAAAACAAACTGCAAGTGACAATCTGGGACATCAACTGCCTATATTTCCAGGCAGACAGGTCATAGAATCACAGAATCTATGTCTCACTGATCCTTCCCCCAGTCTTCACACTTTCCCCTCCCCAACCCCTACCCACATTTGGGCACTAGACAGATCTATTCCAAACTACAAGGTGGCCTTCCCTTCCTTTATTAGCTAGTTTCAGGAATAGATGCTGCTTCCCTAGAGAGCTGCTTCCCAGCATTGCTCTCCAGGAATTGCCTTACACTTCTGTTATCTCCCTTCCTTTCCCTGAACCAAAGGCACTACAAAGAAAAAGCAAATGAAGACACAAGTCACGTTCTAGAAGAAAACCCCACACCTCTGTGCTCAGGTTCCCACACTGAAGGTGAAACCTGGAGTCCTGATGCACGTCAAAACCCAAGCGCTCTCCTGTACCAAGTATTATTTTTTTCCCCAAATACTGCTCTTTCCACAACACCTCATTTCTCACTCACCTCTTTCGAGTTGCTGGGTAGGTAATTCATTGCAGCTGACAAGCATCCTTGTGATGCCAGGAGATTGGCATATTGGGTGATGCGTTCTGCCAAGACAGGGCCTGGCCCCTGTCCTGCTGTGCCTCGGAGCATCTCAATGGACCTGCTCAGCACCATCACCTTCTCTATGAGATCCTGAATGAGACATGGGGAGGGAAGAAACAGACCACTCAGAATCTGATTTGCTTTACTATTTCATCTCATGTTGAGACAATACCAAATGGCTTTCCCTATGACACGAGGTCCAATGTGAATAGAAGTCACCCTCTCTGCACCAGGTATTATCTGACTACCTTTTCCTCAGGTGAGCTTTGTGGAGAAAAACAGGAACAAGGAAGCAAACCCTGACACGACTACTTTTATGGTAAGGGAAAAAAGGAAATCAGAAGCCATGCAGACATTCTAATCACCTGTGATGTTTTTACTAGGGAAGTCACTACTATAACTCTAGGAGTTACAAGCTGTCAGCTTGGAAGAGAAAGGATTAAAACTATACCAGGAGAAATTCAGTAGGAAAAACTACTACTGCTGAAACAGACCAGAATGTTTTCAGTTATTCAAAACTTTCAGGTCCTACAAATCACAGTAATATTTCTAGCTGTAGAGAGATATGTGCATCATAGGCTGATAATTGATAACTGGAAGGAGGCCAGTTTCAAATATAACCAGGGATGCTGAAGATGCCTTTTTGTTACCATTATCCACTAGTGAGGCTGCAAGTGCAGGGAACTCTGCAGCAGAGGGCATTACCTGCAGATATCTGAGTGGAAGGCTCGTCCAGTTCAACCTAGTGATTGGGGGTCAGTGACTCAGCCAGGACTGGTTTAAGTGTAACAGGCAGGCCACAACACTGGCTTAGAAGCCCTGATTCATCTGCAAGCTGTGACTCCTCACATACGATTGTTCTACTTGCACCTGGAATAATACAGTCTAGACTTTATAAAATAAAGTCTATGAGGTTCATGCCAGAGGTTGTTCCGAAGGTAGAGCCAGATAACTGGAATGTTCCAGTTAGAGATGCTAAGCACAGCAGCAAATGTACTCCCAGGCAACTACCAGTAAGAAAACAGGTATGGTAAAACACTTCCCTGACTAGAAGAAAGCTCAAAGATGACATCACTGTACAAGGACAGGCTGTAACTCTCATCCACGGCTGAATTTATGTGCAGTGTAACTGATACTCTCTAAACACACAAATCCTTAATGTTTAAGAGTGCAAGTCTCCATCAGAGGTAAGCCTGCAATCCAGGCTAGGAGGAGATATCTTGGTGACCACAAACAGGTCTCCACTGTCTGCTGGAAGCCAGATACTCTGTTTGATGGAATAATGCAAAGAGATCAGGGCTACCAGACTGGCCTAAAGAGGAGTCAAACCAACATTATAGCACCTGTACCTGCAAGGCAAGGGGTGATGAAGTCTCATGGTTTTTCACCCAGCATTCCACCAACCTCTCCACATTGCCTGATGAGATATAGCAGAGGCAGGCATCATTGCACAGAGCTGCATCTCCCTCTGACTCTAGGCGGGCACCCAGCATGTCTACAGAAAAAGAAATACAGCCAAGATTTAACACACTCATTTTCTGAAGAGCTTGTTAGCCTCAATGCTCATCTTTTAGCAATCCTACTCTGGTCTGGCAAGAAAAGGTGTTGACAGCTTTGGATTTGCACCTAGTTCTTGGATAGCATGAGAAATGGGCATCATTAATTCTTTTTTTAACCAATTTGGCTTATTTTTTTTATGTATCTGTAATTTTTTTTTTGTGTCTGCCCAGACACACAGAAGAAAGAAAAACCCTTAAAATGACTAATTCAGTGAAAAATTCCTTTCTTTTTTTTTTTTTTCCTCTCCAAACTGTGGGAATCTCCTGGCAATAGACGTATCCAGGATGGGGGAACACCTAGTAGTCTGGTAGCTGACAGCCTTTAGCAAATGCTAGGAGATAAAGATGAGCTAAATCTACCTCACTATCACCACTTCCACTTTACACCCCTACAATAAGTCTCTAAAAGATGTCACATTTTCTTGCATTTCAAGCTGTGTCACCTTACTTGTATGAAAGGCACTTCCCCAACAGCACTTAGCTGTTTCCATCAGCCAGGAGCTAGTTCCTAGCTAAGTGACATGAGTAACTTCATTGGATTCAGTCACTGGATTGTCCCAGAACTCCAAGTCTCAGAACAACCAACTGCTGAGCATGTTGGACTACAACTAAGACTGAGGAAACAGCTGAAGCCATCAAACATTCATCAGCCCCTGTTGCTGAGCATAAAAGGGAGGGAAATGTGCTGGAATGGTAAACCTTTTTCAGACAGAGTGAAGCCACCTGACCTTTTATTGTCAAGGAAACCCCCTTCTCCCTAGAACAAAATAATAAATGTGATCCCCTTAGTGTCTCATTCTATTGTCCTGTTTTGTTTGTTTTATTTTTCTCCATGCTAGTGGTAAAGGTGACAAGAAATGTCAGAATACATAACTTTAACATATGATTCTCCCCTATAGCATGCACATATTCTCCTAACTCAACAGCCCACACTTAATTAAAATTCTATTGCCTGTCCTGTTTTGTTTGGTTTTTTTTCTCCATGCTAGTGGTAAAGGTGACAAGAAATGTCAGAATACATAACTTTAACATATGATTCTCCCCTATAGCATGCACATATTCTCCTAACTCAACAGCCCACACTTATTTAATAAGTTCCAGCTACGTGTAATGAGTAAGGAGCACTTTCCTTCCTCAATAGTATCTACTGCTTTCTGTAAGCAGTCCAGAGCTGCCCTCCCCCAAGGGAAACTGCATTAAATTGTATTACACCACATACCACAGAGCTGGGTATAGTCCTCATGCTTTGAGTATGTTAAGAGGACGGCCAGTGCCTCCTTCCAGCTCTGCAGATCACACGTGCCAACAACATCTTGCCAGTTCTGCTGCACAATGGAGGAAAGCAGCTGCAAGGGAAGCAGAAGGCCTGTCAGCCACTGAAGGCAAAGATAAGCTGACTGCTTAGGCAAGGGCACCCAGGGGGATAGCTCACTTTGAGGCACACTTCCCACTACGCAGCAACTACCTCACTATACGTTAAGGTCCACCAATCCCAGCATCCTAATATCAGCAGTAACTGGAACCTGATGCCTTCAAAGAAAGTAAAAAATGCCAACAAAGCACTCAAGAGAATGTGGAGCAGCAGCACTAGGCAAGACTAAAGATCTAGCTGATGCATATCCTGTTCCAGAGCAGCTATAGTATCAGTGACCAGGAATACAGCACTGGGATATCCCAATCCCTGCTACGCCTCCTCGTTGTCAATGAATAAGCTAGGATCTTCCTAGCTGAGCTTTAAGGGGGCAGTATGCTCCCCGAGTTACAAACATGGGGAGCCAAGGCAGAAAGTATTAGATTTTGAAAAAAGGAACAGAGAACACAGGCATTCATTCTAGGTGAGCAACATGAAGGTGTCATAAAACTACCAAGAGATTATATTAAACGTCTAGCCAAGAGGAGACGCACAGATTCTGCTGACATTCTACCTCCTGCCAAAGCCTTTCTACATACATTCAGACAAACATCTGCCTAGATACCACATACCTGTGCACAGTAGGCACACAGAACGGTGACTTACCAGGGAGAGTTTTGTCTCACGCTTGGCAAAATAGCGTTTCTGAGTCTCCTTTAGGAGGTTCTCCCCACCAGCTATAGCTAAGATGATGGCGTCAGCAAAGCGCTCTGCCCGCATGCACAGCTCCACTGCACCCTCAAAATTCCCCAACAAAAGGGCTTGGCTGATGAGTCCATCTGTATCTATAGAGGTGAGAAGCAGAGTTAACCAGAGGAACATCATCCAGATGCACTGGGGTTGTTCATTCTAAAAAGCGAGCAGTAAAACCCAACAACGTATGGAAATCCAGCTAAAATATCTGGAAACCCAAATCAGGTTTTGAACTTCAAAAAATCTACTGACTTGACAGTAAGTCTTCCATTATCTAAAAGATTCTTCTATACATTTAATGGGTCTCTTATCTGACAAGCATTTCCTTGCACAATGCTGAGAGATGCTGCATGATACTGCAAGGGATTGTATGCTTCAAAAGTATCCATCTGCTGGAGTGGACCAGACTCCTCCTGGTATCCCTAATTTTCTGGGTTTCCCTCCTCTCCCCTTCTTCTAAGATGGCAGAAACACATTTCATGTAACATACCTTCTGTGACAGGAATCTCCAATGTGCTCATATTCTGTGGGATGAGGTTGTCAAAAAACGCTGAAGAGGAGGAAACAGCAGCTACATCATCACTGGAATTTATTAAAAGCTGTGCAAATTATGCAAGAGGTTAATTAATTCATTGAATACACAGATCCTGCCCAAAACAGTTTAATGGATTACTGAGTGGGATGGAGCTGCTCTCCATTTGGTTGAGCACGCTCATACAAATCTGATTTTGACCTGCACAGTTTCAGCAGGGCAGCAACAAGAGCAGTGCTGCTATTGACAAACCTCAGGAGGTTGATAAGACATTAGTTATGATAAGACATATAGGAGATGATATAAGACATGCAATGCCAACAGTGCCACTGGCCAGCATTCATCAGCTCAACTGCCAGCCAGGTCAGCAAGGTGAACAATTTTGGATAGAACAGGGTAAAGCCCAACAAGTGGTATCTCTTAACAGGCAATAGCCATACTTGGGGCTCTGTTGAAATGTAGGACAATTGCTATCCCTAGAATATCTCTCAAGCAAGCATTAAGATTACTAATTTGAGGACAGCAGCTATAGATACCTCTGAGAAGAAAAATTTACAGTCCATGGTGAACCAGCCTTGGAAGGCATCTGAAGACAGACATTCCAAAATCATGTGAGAATACATTTCAAAGGATAGAGGTGAAAAGGAAAGAAATGCAGAAGAAATTCCAAAGCAGAAGCTTCACAAAGGAAATCCAGAACTGTAGTATGAAGTTAAGTTAGGGTGAAGCTAATTCTATCACTGAAAAAGACCAGCACAGGTGAAGCAAGCCTTCCTGCAGTGTTAACAGCCAGGAGACCACCTTCATTATTCATTGATTTGTTTTAAAGCCACAAGGGACTGCTATGACTGCTTAGTCTCACCCTGTGAGGGTCTGACAGAGCTGTGAACTGTCCTCTGCAATGCCTGCATTGAGCCAAACTACTTATGGTTGGAAGGAAGCCTTGGCTGCTCTCCCAGACTGGCAAGCTGTGCAGGACATACCTGATCTGGCTGTGCTCCTTGTGTCTCATCTGCCTCAGGAAGGGGCTGCTTATCTGGGACCCCATTGCTCAGGTGTGAGGTGATCTAGAAAAGTAACAGAGATTCAGAGCGAAGCCCCTGTCAAAGTTAAACATTTGGGCAGTGAAGCCACCAAGTGTCCTGGTTCTGTGTAAAAAGGGGTTCAGGGCAGGACCCACAGGAACAGAACTATGTACTCGCCTCTCCCCCCGCCCTTGAGAGAGAGAGAGAGACACTTTTGAAAAAAAATGAAGTATATTGTTCAACAAGGAACAGAAAACGAAAAAGGGAGGTAAGGAAAATAATATATACAAAGATTAGGGGAATAATACAAAAAATAAAATATACAAAACCCTCAGAAATGGTTCCAGGGTCCCACGGAGTGAAAGGAGAACTTTACTCTCCGAGCTCCAAGGCAGGAGTGAAATTAGAACCCACTCCCTGCCTCTTATCAGAGTGTGTGTGGGAAGGGGAGGGAATACAATGGTTTCACCCCCAGCCGGGGTCCTCCCAGTTGCTGGAAGGTCACGCCCCCATTCCAAGCCTCAAACCACAACACCAAGTGACTGGCAAAATTGCCCTGGCTCTTCCACCTGTTGGAAAAGCTCCACCTCTCCCTGTTCCTGGCTGGCTGCCTATCGGAGGGCATTTATCCCTCTCCAGAATATTGTTCATGCTGCTGCAGGAGCTTCCTCCCTTGGAGGTCCACAGAGGCTCTTCACAATTCCGCTGTTGTTATACACTCCCCAGAGCACCAATAACTGGAAGCAAGAAAATTGGGCTCAAGACTCTTTTGGGGTCCAGTACAATTACAGCTGTACCTTTAAAAGTGCCCATATTTTCTTTTTAACAGGGAATACTTGAGCTGCATCTCAGCTGAAATGTTGTAGTTCCATCTTTTTTGTGCTGTGAGAACACTCCCTCATTCCCAGTGGGGAACCTACAACTGTCCTGCAGCAGCTTTAGGCCTGTAAAGGTTTCTCTCTGTTGGATAGATACATTACCTTTTTCTGCAGATCTTCTTTACTGTAGCCCAGCAGCTTGAGGAGTTTAGTCCTGGAATCCTGCTCCAGATTCACCTGAGTCCCAAAGGATATTAAAAAATATAAGACATTATGTTAAATCCTAGACATCTACAGACTGTCAATGATTGGCTGCTTCTGGCAGCAGTGAAGTTCAGATCCCAATTTAAGATAAGGAACTCAGCTATGACGTGTCCACCTAATGACTGCTGTGGGAAAATCTATGGAATTTCAGTTAAAATCATGATAAAAGGTTGAAATTCAAGTTTGTCAGAGTTACAGTTCAGTTACAATTGCATCGTATGCATACTTTGTGTAGCTGGTTAACAACTCCCTGGATGGACCAAGAATTGCCAAGCTAATTGCTGTTCCTACTGTAGAACCAACCAAACTGTATGTGGATAAGATTCTTGTAAACAGTCAGTAGAAAACACTCTTGCAGATGCAGAAATGGTCATGCAGGACAGTCTTTTGTACAGAAGCTTGGTGTGTAATTAGCAGTAAGAGATCTTGTACGTCCTGGAGTGGTCTCACAGGACCATGGGCCAGCTGGATTATAAAAATTCACTAGAATGACAGTTTCACACACCTGATCTAATGCAGCTGAAGACACTGGTGCAATGACCCTTGAAATGGAGACTAGTGTCACCATCTAGACAATGCCTGGATGTCCTATTCAAGAGAGATGCTTCCCCATGCAAATGTAATATTATGGAAAAGATCCCAAGATTTCTTCCCACACAGTCTGCCCTTGAGTGTCTGTCAAACACTACCAAGGCTAAGCCCTACCCCTCCAGAAGAGCAACTGACCCCCATTATTTAAGTCTTTTTTATTACCAAATTGTCAATTAAACCATCATCCTATGTAGGGCTACAGCCAGTCCTCATGTCACCACAGCTCTCTCTCTCTCTCATTTCTGGGGAATCTCACTGCCCATTTGGACTATGCCCTGAGAAACAGCAACAGTAGAGTTCCACTGGTAGCAGGCAGATATAGCTTGGCAGTGGGCTGAGACCAGAAAATGCTGTTTAGCACCTTGATAGGAAGCCCAGATGAATACACTGAAAAGACCATTTCTACTGAAAAACAAGGAAACCTCAAAGACCTCAACTACAAAACCTTTTCTTTAGACAAATAACTAGTCTATTCAGTTCCATTTTATGTCTCAAAGAACAGGAATACAAAAGGGCTAGAGAGCACCATATTGAACACATTCCACCCCAGGATCATAAACTAACCGACTTTCGTGTTTCATCACAGTCATCCTACCTTCAAGAAGTTCCAAAGGTTCTCATCAAATGGCAACTTGGCTGTCTGGATCTTGCCCTGGCAGTAATCAAGGAGGTTCCCTGACTGCAAGGCCATCTGCAGCTCTCTGGATCGGAGCAGGAATTCAGTTTCAGTGGTGACTTGACTGATGAATACCTGCTGTGGGTAAGTCTTCTGCATTTGCTGTCCAGGAGCTTTGGTAAGACCAAAGGAAATAAGTTTTCCTCCAAACTGAGAAAGGCAAAGGGAAACATAGTAAGCATTCTTACAAACAGGTAAAAGCAACTCACTCTGCTCTTCATTCAGCAAGGTGGACTTAGAGCTCCAGCTGTGATCACATGGAACCCAAACAGTTTAATGTGTATGGGTAGTAGGGATGTTTAGGGAGTTCACGTGACAAGCACTTCAGCTGAAGACCAAAAACCATTTACAATTGTGTATGTGCTATCAGGCCCAGCCAACTGCAGACACTAGAGAGGCACAGAGGAAAAAGTACTGTTGGGAACTGTTTGTCCTTTTCTGACATGGAGAGGCAGGCTGCAATGATAAAAACTTTCATGTGAATGGCAGGCACTAGACAGAGGACAAGCCAAGCCACAAGCTAAAAGAACAATTCAGCCTTTTGATTTAGGAGGAAAAAGGTGAAGAAAATTAAATACCTGGATAGGAAGGAGAAAGGCAGAGGATAAAGGGAATGCATGTCACAGCCTATAAGGATAGTTTTTCTTGAGTCTTCCTTATTTTTTTTTGTCTTACTTATAACCTGCCATTGTCTGGTATGGGAATGCACATCACAGCCTATAGTTTTTCTTGAGTCTTCCTTATTTTTTTTTGTCTTACTTATAACCTGCCATTGTCTGGTATAGGACTCTTTCTTGCTGGAAATATATTTGATTATTGAGCAAAAGAGCTTTGCTCCACGGGATACCACACTGCACCTTAAGCAGACATTAAAACATGTAGCAACGTGAGGACTAAAAGGTTTCTTTAGCAAAAGAAAAGGATTGTGTCAAAAAATGTCACATCTATCACATTTTAACCTAAGGATGCTCCATTCACTTACTGCAAATGAAACTCCCACAGGTCTGCGAATCCACTTGGGTGGCTTTTTTAATGGTGGAATCAAGGTGGTCTGAGCTACCTGCTCAGGAACCTGCAGAGGAGGAAGCATCTGTCCTGTGCCAAAGGGATCCAGATTGTTAAAGGAGGAAGAGATCTAGAATCAGATGGAGAAAGGAATATGATATAATTCAACTCCTCTCTGTACAGAGTAAGCACCAAAAACTACTGCTTAGTAGTTACTTTCCTTGCTGATGAAGAAAAAGGCTATTATAGCACCTCCTCCTGGAACACCACCAAGTCTCTATGTGAGAGTAATGGTATTTCCAAACAGTTACAGAAAACATTTCTTAAGAAAGCTTCACCTTAGGAGATTTTTCAAGTAATTTTTCCTTAGCAAGACCCGAATTCCCTAACAAGCACTGCCTGGCTTAGCACCCAGCTCATAAACACAGGAGTTACAAAATTACTTGTTTTATGCAAGACAGTGACAACATACAGTCAAAAGTTGTCCAACTTATTTCTCGTTTTGCTCACAAAGGAATGACTCCCCCCTTTCTGTTGCTGAGGTCTTTCAAATGGGTTATTTTTAAGGACTCCCTCAAGATTTTATAGGTTAGATGAGGCTGGTGAACTAATCACTCCAGACTTTCCTGCCTAAACAACAGTGTGCCAAAAGTGGCCTCTGATCTGTATTTCTAACATTTAGGAAATTGGTAAGCATACATCCAATGCTGTTTACAAGCATTCTTAATGGCTAACATTGTTGGCATAGATTTGTTATTTGCTAAAGGCAATCTGGTTTGAGTTTGGCCCATATTTCATAGCTTCAGCATACCTAAGAAGCAGCAACACCAGGCCCATCAAGCTTTCCAAACAACCATGGGCAAGACCTACAAGTTTTGTCTTTCAGGTCTTTCTTGAGAGGAAACCAAGGTACCAGGAACATCAACCACCAGGTCAGGTATCTGTCCTGATACCACAGAATCCAGAGGAAAGAGACCTCCTGGTCACAAACTCTCTACCTCCATAATTGTCTTTACCTCCTCCTATTTTTGTTCTTAGTTGTTATTCTATTTATCTGAGAGTTATTCTACCCTACTGTTCTCCAGTTATGAGGAGTGGAAATGTGGTGCATGCACATGAAGAATGCAGAGAAAGAAAATTCTCCATGGGTTAAATAAATCCTTAATCTCCTACAGCTGTGGCCTGATAAAGTATTTTCCTTCTCTTGCAAATCCTATGAAACTGAACCCAGTCATCTGTAAATGACTATATAAATAATACTTAAGCTGGCTCATATGTATTCTCTTAAAACCTGTATTGTAAAGCATTTGTTGGCTCAAGAGAGGGAAGGAATTAAAGACTGGTCACCAGATTAAAACTAAAACTTCAGACAGTACATTTAATTTGTTCAGAGTTTGCTCATCTATTCATTGGCTAAATAACAGGTTTCAATATCAAAATATTAACATCCTCCAAGTTACAGTCAATTGACTTGAGGAAAATTGCTAATAATGGCTTATTAGCTACTTTAAAAAAATTCTCTTCTGAACTAAGAAAGAATAACATGCTGTATAAATTAGTGTCAATGTATTTAATTATAAACTAATGACAAGACAAGCTTGTTGTTCTAACAGGTGTCCTGCTTTATTTTTACTCTAGCAGACTAGCCTAAATCCTACAAGTCAGGTGAGTAACTGCCGATCTGTCAAGCCATCACACCTCCATGGGACTTTACCTTGTCAGCCTGAGTCTTCTGCTGAGCTTCTAAGTTCCCCCCCATAACAGAATAAACGTTGATCCAGCCATCGAAAGTCGCAGCAGAGAAGACTGAAGGATTCCTGGGACACCACTGGACATCAAAGCACCACTGACTCCGGATGGGCAGCTCGTAAACCGCCTGTCACAGAACGAGGGAAGGCAGAAACACAACACAAAGAGAACCCTGCTCTCCTCAAGTTACTTGCTGATGGCAAGCGTGTCACACTTTATTTACATACTACTATCATATACAAGCCTTACTGTTGCTTCTTGAAGGATGCATTCAAACTGAATTATAGCACACAGCCACAAAAATCTGCTATACAATAGGATTCTGATTGTAGAACAAAATGCAAGAGCAACAAGTCAGCACTGTTAATGTGTTAACCAAGGGGGAGACACCAGAAAGAAACCCAGAAGCTAAAAAGGCAAGAAGATGCCATGAGCAAGAATATGTAAACAAAAGGAACAGTCTAGAATAACAAACTTGACAAGGAAAATAAAAGCCTAAAGAAAAAAAAGAAAACCCAAACACAGCAGAACAACAAAAGAGGATATGAGGGACACTGCAGGCAACAACTTCCTGGCCTAGCATTCAAAAATCTGAAGTTCAACTCATGGCCCAGTCACAGACTTTCTGCCTCATATTGGGCAACTCACTACCACAACCTCAACTTTGAACCTTCAGCCTGTAAAATTGATACATTTCCTTTATGCCTCACAGGCACGAAGCACAGAGAGCCAGAGTTTGCTTCCCTGTGAGAATATAACCTGCATTTTCTGTTCCCAAGCATAAAACCTTGCATTTGCTTATATTAAAATCTGCACTTCTAAATTAAAAAACAACCAACCAAACAAACAAAACCAACCAATCACAACCCACCCAAATATCTCCCAACTCCAAAGAAACCAACCCTTCCCCAAAATTCACCAGAACAGCCATTCTGTATCTCCTTATTATTGAAAGCCTTCCCAAATTCTTTAACAACCTGAAAGCTTTCTGTTCATTGGTACCAAGTCAAGAAGAGCCCCCTAACAACAGTTTGTCCATGGATGCCTAAGCTGAATTTGGATTGTGCAAATCTACAGCAGCATGTGCAAAGATGAGCCAGCTGCACTAATACTGGTTTTGTTTTAATTTTTCTGCTAAAACACAGTGAAAAGACTTTACTTTTCAGAGTCTGATTCTCTTCTAACCACTAGACATCTGTACAGAGCAAGCATTGTATCTCAAGAAACCACAACAGCAGAATGTCATACATTTTATGAAAAGCAATTTTTTTCCATGCCTCCAACACAAAGGTGGTCAGCTAACTGAAATTCTCCCATGGAACAAATCCAGCCTGGGGCTCCCAGATGGACTTTGTTCAGTACTGTTAGAGTCCTTTCCTTCTATTAACATCAAGATTAACTGAATGAATTTTGTTCCAAGTTCAAAACTCAGTGCTGCCCAGAAATTCAGCACCGAATGAGTAGGTGCGTTGAAAGATTTTACAGAGTCCTACTTTAATTCAGGTGATACCAAAATATTTCAAAGATGGTAATTTTGAGATACATGACTAGATAAGCACATGCACGTGAAACCACTGTGCTCTGAAAAAAGTTTACACACAAATTTAGTCACATTGTTCCCCTCTCAATTGTCCTAACAAACGCTCCTCATTCTTCTTCAAGTCCTCCCCCGAAAAACTTACTACCCTAGGAGAAGGAAGAAGAAACAAATGGAGACAGGGAACACTACATATGTGAACATAGTTTCAGCTAATTATGATTACTCTTGCTAAGTTTTAGTTAAACATTTCTTCCCTCTGTGATCTCTGGACACAGATATATCAGAGAAAAGCTCTGTCTGGATCTGTTGTTTTCAGTTTGGATATGGACACCACTCTCATTCGCTCCAGACAGGAAGAGTGCAGAAGACATACTGAGGGAAACTACACTGGCACTCCACAGGGATACATAGAAGGGACACATCCATAGCACAGCACACAACTCTTTCTAAAGCAGACTGTGAGTACTTGTAGCTGTGGTTATGTACCTCCCCCACACTTGGGTTCCAGCACAAGATCCGGTTGTCTTTGGCACTACTCAACAGCAGTTCAGGGTCAGCCTGGCACCAAGAAACAGAAAGAACTCCCCTAAAATAGATCAAAAAAGAAATCAGTCATGTTTCATACCCAGTCCACTTTCCTACCCTGTCACCAAGAAAGCATCAGAAATGCTGCTTAAGCTCAAAAGTGCTGGTTCTCATCTCTACCCTCAACTAGATTCACTGGTGAAACAAAGCAGGCCTAGCAAAAAAAAATCATAGCTCTCCCAAGTCCAGTATCCCAGATGTCTGCCTTTTAAAGATGGAGATCCTTGAAAAGGCAACAACAGCAAGCAGGCCTTCACCTTGTGTGTCCTTCCAGCTGGCTCAAAGGAGAGGTAGCAAAACGCAAGTCCCATATTTGGATCACTGGCAAGCGGTCATCCTCAGAGGAAAGGACCAGCTGGGTTGCAACTTCTGGATGCCAGGCCATTCCTGAGCAATGCATCTAGGCACAAAAATAGCACAGGCTGAATATTCAGCAAAACAAGGAGGCAAGAGCAAAAACGGTCCAGAGCCACATCATTCTGCACTTAACTTGCCTAGAATGCTTCACATCAAGCAAGTCTGGCAAAGTTGTGCTGTATGAAGCAAGTATTTCTATGTTCTCTACAACACAACAAGCCCACTAACCATACAGAAGTTTAAGGATTAGTTCAAAGTTGATCTAGGAAGATCAACAGCTGGGATTAAAATGCAGAAGTCTTCTCATAAATGAGCTGTGAATGTAGAAAGGGAATGTAAGCGTGCCCTATTTTTAGGAACAGCTAGGGGCCTCGTTTTTCTGTTTGATTGGGGAAAAGAGAGAAAGGAGCTTTGATGCTACAACTCCAAGAGAATCAGCCCCAAAAGTCTCCACAATAAAAACAACTGATCCCAAGAACCAGTGCCACTGCTCTGCAGTCACATGCAGCGTGTTGTGACCTGCTCAGAGTCAGTGTCTTTCTTCCACTCATTGATCTAGCAAGATCAACAGCTGGGATTAAAATGCAAAAGGCTTCTCATAAATGAATGTAGAAAGGGAATGTAAGCGTGCCCTATTTTTAGGAACAGCTAGGGGCCTCGTTTTTCTGTTTTACTGGGGAAAAGAGAAAAAGGAGCTTTGATGCTACAACTCCAAGAGAATCAGCCCCAAAAGTCTCCACAATAAAAACAACTGATCCCAAGAACCAGTGCCACTGCTCTGCAGTCACATGCAGCGTGTTGTGACCTGCTCAGAGTCAGTGTCTTTCTTCCACTCACTCTGTTGCTGTGGTCGCTGACTTTGATGATAGGTTCATTCTTCCTCAGGTCCCAAACCACAGCCTTGCCACTGGGGTGAGCAGAGGACAGGATATGCTGCACCTGCCGATTCCAGGACACCACACTGATGTCTTCATGAGGCTGCCAAGAGAGGAAAGGCCACACATGCATCATTGCCATGCTGAGGGAACACCAATCACAGGATCCTGCTGCTAGCTTAACTAAAGGATTTGAAGATAGATAGATTACTCTCTTCAATCACTGATCAACTAACTAGAAACAGCAGCACTGACCAGAAAGACCAGGAAGCATGGGAAGTCCTTTACTCAGAAGGCACAATGACAGTCAAATTCTATGGGAGAATGTCACCTGGAAAAGCACCTTTGTATTTTGGGAGCAGGTAGCGGATTCTGCACCGGCCAAATGTTTCATAAATCAGTCCAGAGAGAACTGCAGCTGAGATGCTTCTACCCTGACTCCCTGGATGAACTTGAATGGAAAGATGACCTTGTGCAACATTTCAGGAGTGCAGTGAGATGGAAAATGATGAAACAGTAATGGCAATTAGCCTTGAATACATCTACTGCAATGCAGGAGACAGTCAAGGAGACAAATGATAGGCTTATTGGAGGAAAAACTTGGTCTGTTTTTAGGCAAGTTTACTATGTTTTTTTCACTTTCAAGATCTGATTGCCCTGAATAACATAATCAGCATCAAAAGATCAAAAGCTTCTTCCTCTTCAAACTCAAGAAACATTACCTAGGAGTAATAGCTAAGATGCATTAAATGGCTCACTGGCTCTGCTAGGGGTATTACTTTCATGAGATATGAAAAGCTTCAGCTGAAGCCTGAAGTAAATTCATTCCTCAGAGAAGGTCCAATAAGCCTTCTTAATCCATCACACATGTCCCAGCTGGATCACAAGATAAACTGGTCAGTTCCTTGATTCAAATCCACAAAGAGCTTACCCATCCATGCAAACTGCATCCCTCCCAAGCTTGCCAGGCTACCTCCCCTCCCCTTATAATACTCTTTCCACCTCCGCAGAATGAAGCTGCTCAGTCAGTTCTGATTCATCTTTCTCCTGACAGATGTCAAGGTCATTATCCCTTCACAGACTGACAAGACCAGGACAACTCCACATACATCTTTTTGCCTTGCCCACTGAGATACAAAACTGCAGGGGTATTGCCCAGAGGAAAACTTGTTTACCTGTGATTTAGACCCTGGAGTCATAGGCACACTGAAGTTATTCAAGTCCCAGATGAAAATTTCTGAATCATTGGCTCCAGAAGCCAAGAGGTTACTCTGTAGAAAGAAGAAAAGCTCAGCTGAGTTTCACAGGGAAAGAGGACGGATTTCTTAAAAATAAATGTAAGCAAAAATACCTGAAAGCTTCTGAAGGGAGATAAAAGCTGGATTTCCCAGCCACTGGTAAGCAGAAAGATACTAACTGGATTATAAACCAAGCACATTTCCAGCCTCTGTGCCTTCATTTGTGCTAGGGTACAGACCTGTTCAAAACGTGCCTGGCAAGCTGCATACGCAGGTGGCTGGTTGTACTCATCATGAGACTCTACCATAGGCCTGGAAGCTGCTGCCTCTGGCCAGCTGAACCTTTGCCCTGCATCCAACACCAAGAGGATGTCTCTGGAGAAGATGCAGGTCTCTGATGAGGGTCTGCAGAAAACTTTCAGCTTGCCTTTGTGCTACCACAAGAACTTGTGTCGTGTTTGCTACTCACGCACGTTGCAGTCCCTTCAGTCGTGATTAGAGCCCCACTAAACTAGACACCAAATGAACACATAAAAAACCTTCTGGTTTCAAATGGGTAACAGTCTAACACAACGGTCTTACAAGACATTTTTACAGGGCATAAGAGGATTGATCAAGGTCACAGGGGACTTCAGAGGAGCCAATTCTGAGGCCCAAAGCAGCCTTGCGTTACAACTACTATGGCCCTTCCAAGTTAAAACTGAAGAAAGAGTTTTATAAAACTCTACACACAAAGGAAAAATATATATTTTTTTAATATGGAGGTTAATGTTCTTTTGATCCTAAGTATCTCAACATTGAATACCTGGAAGGGGTTGAAGTCAAGAGCTCGAACAGGACCTGAATGCTTCTCTGTATGCCCAATTACAGGCTCTGCCTTTGAAGCCAAGATATGGTGCACACTGTACATTGTCAACACACCATTGTCGCCTCCACCAATGATCACTCCAGAGGGCTCTGGGGACCCATTTCCAAAGTTACCCCAGATCAGCTTATGAAACCTAAAAAAAGAAGAAAATAAAGCTGGCGTAGGCCACGATATCATCACCTCTGCATTACCAAAAAACACATCCATGTTCCAACCTACCAAACACAACCAACAGTCTGCACCTGAAATAACTGAGGAAGACTGTGGCTCTTACCTGGGTAAAAAGAAATGAGCTTTCTTCCACGACTTTTAAAGGTAACTGGGACATTAAAAATTAAGAGCTACTCTGTCTCTTTTTTTACCTCTCCCTGCCCCACAAACATTTAGGACCTCATTTGGGATTGGTGGGTGAACCCCTCTAACACTATACAGAATATTAGATTACAGACTATAAGCTTTCTTTTCCAGAGCTGTTTCCTGAAAAATGTTTGCCCACTGGAAAAGCAGCTAGTTACAAATCAAGGTCGTGTTTTATACTTGGTGCAAATGTCATCCATGCTGATGGGCCTCAGAAATCACCTTGTCTTAAAAAGCTGGAAGACAAGATTCACCCTGCCTCTAGTCTCTTCACTGCAAATCATAAGCCCCAGTAAACTGACATGGCACAGACTCCTGACTGACGACCATATAAGTCCCTTCAGAGTTCTACAATGGTCTAACTGCTGTACTTCTACACATGATTTGTGTCAACAAAAATGTTCAGCTTTCAAATACAGAGGTCAACTGATCCAAAAGATCACTCTCTACCCAAAAAAGATTATCTCCACCTCTCCCTTCTTGTGCCAGAAAATCCCTTTCCAGTTCCACTGATCAACACATCAGTATAAGCCTCTAGTACCTGTTTGAGGCAGGAAGTGATCCTTTCTGCTTCATGTCCAGGGAGGGATCCCTGAAGTCAACCTCGAATATTTCCAAGGTGGCATTTGTACTGAAGGATGCATCCAGCTGTTGGGCAGATGTTCCTAGCAGAAGTACAAGGGCAAAACAAGTGGGCATGTTTTTCAGGAGCACAACATACAAAAAGAGCAATGCACTGGAACCTATTCTTGATAGTCAACACAACCTTGGTTGTGCCCATTCCAAGAGAGGATATGTTTAAATACCTCACAAAGAGGAACCAACAATTATGATTTTGAAAGAAATTAGAACTTCAAGAAATTCTGGGCACCAGGGTCACTTTTACCTTCCTTTCTTGGGATAAATATAATTCATATACTCTCTTCCAAACAGCCACACCTTCTGATATCAAGTCCTTAATTTAAAATTATACAAATACGGTCACATCATGAAACTCTGCTACAGGCATGACCCCAAATACTTCTGTATACTGGTCCTCAACCATGACCATACGTCTTGATCAAACCTTCTACACCTGGTCTACAGTAAAAGTTTTTCAGCCTTAGCCAACTAAACATTCCCCAGTGACCCACAGACAGCTAGCAGTCACACAGTGGTGGCTCCTTCCTTCTCCCTAGCTTACAGAGTAAAAGCTAAAAGTAGATTTAACATTGCCTAACAGGACATGGCCAGCCAAACAGGCACCCAGTTACCACAGAGGTGCTTTGTAACTGACTATGGCATGGAGAGTGCCCAAGAGACTATTAAAAAGCAGTACAAATTATGAAATTCTGCAGTTTCTGACCCAAAGCAGACTGAAGCCAAGACCTTTGGTTCAACCAAAAATCTGGCCTCGCTAAAGAAACACAAAATTGCCTATCTACCCCAAAAATGGTAATGTTGCTTTTAAGGTAACAGTTGAACTGTCAATTTTTTTTGACAGTCATTCCTGGGAAAAAAAAAAAGCAAAATATAGCAGCACTGCACAACCCAGGCAGGAGACAGAGCTGAACAGTTCTCATGTTGGGCAGACAACCCAGCATCTTGCTTCCACACAGACACTAAACTCACCCACTCAGTGAACAAGCTGACTTTGTGCTTCAGGAAACTATTATAGCAATAGTGAATAATGAAGAAAATAAAATAAAAATTTAAGCTTTTGCAGAAATATTGAAAATTGAATGATAACCAAAACATGTGACTTTAGAGAGGACAGTTTTCTACTATTTGATTGTCAAACCATATGACAACGTTTGAAGACCAGCAAAGTAAAAGTGACCTTAAATGAACATGATTAGAATGAACTTTTTTTTTCCCCACAGGCATACCAGGTAAGTAACCTTACTGTGTTTTAATTTTTACTGCAAAGCAGGTGTTGGAGCTCATACAGACTTAATCAGATCAAAAAAGCCACGTATTCACTCTCTGAAAAAATCCCTGGCCTTGAAGGTGTCAAAGCTGGGCATAAAAATAATCTTCTCCAGGTCACTTTAAAAGAAATTAAGTCTGTAATGCTTTCACTGTATTGCTTGTAAGTTTTTCACAGATTATTACAGTGAGAATTCTTTAAAGTTAAGGCCAATACAACTCTACATAAAAATCTTTCTGTGACTCATACTTCAAGTTTCACAAATTGTGAGCAACTTTACCTGTTGCTAGATAAATGGGGTGGTTGTTTGCTGGACTCCATGCTTGGACAGCTGTTCGCTCAAGTTCCTTTAGCTTCATTTTCTAGAGTCTAAAAGAAATTTCACAGAGCAGTTAGAACAGCTTGATAAAGTCAACACAAAAATAATCACACCAGTAATAAAATGCCCCTTTGCGAAGGTACCACATGAACAAACTGCTCTCAAAAGACAGCAGTCAGTTATGACTTCCTGAGTGAGTGAATACAGTTTCACTGGAATGAATTAGGGTATTTTAGAAGTCAGAAAAAAAAATCCAAAAAATCCCAGCTGTCTGATCCCACATTTTTTTTTCATATATAGCTCTCTTTTTCAAGCACCCCGATTGCAGGAGAATTCCAGTAAAAGGAAAGGGATCTAAATTAACCAACATACTCAAGTCTTCGGCCCAGGCTGGTTTATATCAGCTGCAGAAATGAATTTAAACAAGTGTATTTGCCAAGTTCTAGCTGCTGCCTCTGAACAAGCTGATGCCAGTATGCACATAGGCAAAAAGAGAGTCGAAGGAATCTCAGGGCAGGATAAATTCCAAGCAGAAAAGTGACGTGGCCACAGAAAACAAAGAGCAATGCTATCATGTGCCAATTCAGTTAATGTACTTTGTTCTTGTTCTTCTGATTAGTGGAATGAAAAAAATAATGTGACTTCCTGCTTGAGTCTGTAAATGGCAGAAGGTGAGAAAAATCCATCCAGAAGTAACTACTCTGTTTCAGTCTGAGCTCTGACAACAGTTCATTTTATTTACTCTGGATAGACCAACAGATGCCTGTGACATGGGGATGCAACTGCCCCATGTCCCTGGGTAATAATGCAGCAGGATGACTGAAAGTCAAACAGCAGGCACCCAGGAGGCTGCAAAGCTAAACACAAGCACAAGTTATTGTTCCATGTAGGATCCTGCTCTTGCTGAGGAGAAACCACCCAGCACCTTTCCATCCCAGACCATGCCCAGATCTTCTAGGCATGTCAGTCACATAAATGATGTGTGGACACACTACTCACAAGCTGGGGGGGGAGGGGGAGGTGTCACTCTCATGAGCAGTTCCTAAACAATTCAAGCTTGGTTGCAGTGCAATCTTTTTAATTAAAATAGAGCTAACTGTGCACTCACATTATATCATGCTGCATAAAGTAAAACTGTCAGCAGGCAACACAAAAAAAGCACCCTGCACCTTGCCAGCTCACTGTGCTGAACCTCTCCTGGTTATTAATGCTCTTTGTGTTAGCTGGGCTGACAGTTAAACCACAGTCTCCACCGTGTGGCCTCCTCTCCAGATGCAGGGCTACAAGTGTCCAGACTTCAGTTTGGTCTTACTCAGGCCAGAGCACAGATGTCCAGCCAAACCACTGAGAACAAGAACCCAGACCCCAAATCAGTTTTGAAAAAGTTTTCTGTCCTCTTGTGGCTTATATGAAGCTATGCTCTCCTGAGGCCCACACAAAGGGAAATATGGTCCACATTGGCTGGGACCTTCTTGGCTAATAACTCCATACTCTTTTTAGGATTTCTTCTCCACCACCAGTCAGAAGGTAAGGACATCCCCTCTCTTCCCCAAGCACTATCAGGACGTGCCCATTGATTACAATTTATTTAATGCTTTTTAGCATTAGCATGCTGCATATCTCCCAAAGTTCAAAGTGCCTATTGCTATTCTCAAATTAACCTTATCCAAACTTAGCTGAGGCCCACGGAAATCTGAACAGAACTCTTGTACAATAAGAGATGTGCAACTATATCCTCACACAGCTGAGTAACAGAGGTGGAAAGGTCATCTTCTCCTTATCACCATAACAGACCCCTAAAGCCCACTTTCCTATCTTCCAGCCCACACTTTGCAGAGCACTGATTAGGGCTCCATTACATTCTTTCTGCCAAGAAGTTCCAGCACCTTCTCATCTGTCTCCCACACTAGTGCAGGAACGCTGTCTGGGTCTCCTCTCTTCAATCAATAACCCTAGAAGTGAGGTGAACCTGCCAGCAACAGCCTACTGCAGAAAGCACCCCTCGACCCCACTGATGTGGGAGAACAGAACAGGTTGTTCCTTACCAGGGGTATGTTCCTTACCAGCCCCCTTCCCTCTTCCAGTGACAGCATATCGACTGTAGGAGCTGGCTGTACACACAGGGCTCACTGCTTCTCTCCTTTTGAGAGGACAACTCCACTGCCAACACTATTAAACAATGGTCAGCTGAGCACTTCCCTCTAGTACCTTAGCCAGCAAGGAAGCAGTGAAGAGTGCAACCCTCACAGACTCAGCCAGGTGACTGGTACAAGCTCCCACGCTTCCGTGCCGGGTCGACTCCATGGCTGGTACAATTTGCATTTAACATACAAAGACAAGCCACAAAACCTATGCAAACAGTATTGATCATTCCTGCAGCTTTTCTTGTCAACAGAGCACTTTGTGTAACAACGTCATCACTGCTGTTCTCTTCTCACCACCTTAAGTCAGGACAGAACGTGGAGGTAAAGCATCTTGCCCACAGCACCTCACCCAGCCATAGGAAGGTAAACAAGGCACCACCATTTGAAGTGGCTCAGGATCAACTGAACAAGGGCAGAAGTGCTGGATCACAGGTACTGAACAGCTCCACTGTGTCCCTGCTTCTCAAGGCCAAGCAGTAATAGCTCCAGAAGTCTGGAGAAGGCCCACAGGAGATGCCTAAGAAGCCAAGATCCCACTATCACACAATCTTTTAAAGAGCTCCTACCAGTTCAGCTCCATTGCAGCTGAGGTTCTGCAGAGGATGCAGCAGCACCTCCTCCTTATATCAGAGGGCTCTGAGTTTGGAAGGAAAAATAAAAAAAAAGCAGCCTGATTTGAGTGTTAGCCTTAGAGAAGCGATCCTTCTATACACGTATATATCCAGGACAGGACTCAAGATCCTCAGAGCAGGAAACATCCCTTTAGCAGCCTCCTGTGGCTGCCTGAGAAAATACACAAGCACGGTGACTCCCGCGGGAGAATTTTTAGGGAGAGATTGCCACCTTCTGTCCTCTCCCAAAATAGCACCTAAGACTTCTGAGAAAGCTCATGCTTTTCTAGGGACCTCTAATTAATTCCTCCTCCTTCTACAGACATCCGATTACAGCCCTAACGCATTAACAAACCTCAGCCCCAACAGGAGTCTCAGGTGAGAAGGGGCATTTCTCCCCAGCTATGGTGCCCTGCACAGCCTCCTTAAAAGGTAACACTGTCTGCAAAGCAAAACCCAGCAGACAGAGCACTCCCCACCACTGGGAAATGGAAAGCACACAACTAAACACTGAAGAGTGAAAAGCACATGCTCTCAAACCTTGACACACCGTACAGGCAATGCTGACAGAGGCAAATTCCTCACCTATACTAACTTAAAATACCTGCGGCTTAGAATACATCCTAAAAGACTGCTGTGGTTGTTGTATTAGCTAATTGACCCTCAAAGCTGCCATAATCACCTCCGGTATCACTCTAATTAAAGGTCTCCTCTCTCTTACACCACCCAAATACTGTCAACCAGAAATCCCCTCCTACTGACTTTCGCAATCCTCCTCCTGCCACTGAGCACCAGACAGCTCCTTTCTGAGCAGCTCCTGCTGACAGTGGACTTCCAACACAGCACACAAAGGAGCTGATCTCCCCTAGCTAAAGGTGGAACATGTGCAGAACAGGAAAGACTCGTCCAAGGTCACCCAAGCGACCAGCAGCCACCCCGGGACTGAAAAAGGCCTCTCAGCCCTAACACAATGGTTAAGACAAAATGGTCACACGGTCTCCACATCCTCCTATCAGTTTAAAACCTTTGTCCTGCCCTTTCCCTTTGCATCGCCCTCCCTTCACAGCACCCCAATATCCTACAGCCAGGCCGCTCTCACAAGGGCTTACTATAAACCCCGATGACAGGCGGCAGAAGGCACAGGGAGACTAATCTCAGCTAATCGCCGGGGTTTGCAAGGCGGGGCTGTTGTAAGGCAGGGCTCAGCACATTCCTCCATGACAGCTCCCGTGGTGTATAAAGAAACTTCTTGTGCTCTAAACACTTCCAAAAGCCACTGCTGCGTGCCAGAGCCGTGCCGAGGGGAGCCGCACAGCAGCGTTACTCTGCGCTCTGGCCACGCAGAGGTGAGGTCTGGGAAGAAAACATCGACCCCGCACACCGGGTGTCACAACCGCGGCTCCCGGCTTCGCCAGAGGCCTCTCCGCGGCCCAGGTCAAACAGCTCAGCTCCCCCGGGCGCTCCCCGCCTGCAGG